GTGTTTTGCTTGCCCTGCTGGCTTTTCGTCCTTCTGTGATTTCTTCTTTTTTTACCCAAAATAAGGGGGGCTTGGTCCCCCAGGCCTTCCCCTAGATGTGCCACTGAACTATAATAAACTTTTCAGTGCAAGTACATAAACATGATCAAGTTCTTTGATATGATGACAAGGCCACACCTTAGGAAAAATAGCACATACTTTGTAACATACCTTAAGTTTAAGTTTTGTTAAAAGTTCCTGCTCTCTGGCTTGAAGCTGTCCTATTGTGTTTGATAACTCTCTCATGGATGACGTTAAAGCACTATTCTTCTCCTAAGAATAACAGGAATCAATAACATTGCATCTGTTGGCAACGACTATAAAGGTAAATCATACAAGTACAGAAAGGATTGTTCAAAGCAAATATTGAGAGCCTCTGAAAACTCAAATGACCCAGGCCAAATCATTATTCTTTAAGAACTACATACAAGAATAAACAGAAAACTTACTTCAAGTTCCTGCACCTGGTGAAGTGAAGTATTTGCATGCTCAGAAACTTGTTGAAGTTGGAGCTATAGACAAAAAGAGAATGGAAAATTGGTTTAATTCTATAATATTGTACTTTATGACTGAGAGCAGAACTTGCTCTATCTTCAGTTCCATACCTGAGTATCTTCCAGTTCTTTGCCTTTGTTCTTTTCTTCTGTTTCTGAAGCCTTTAGCCTTAAAACAGAGTTAGCTTCACATCAGTACCATACATGTATGCGGTAGTTACATAGTCATGTTATGATGTACATGTAAATGTAGCTGTGATACAAATTTACATCAGGGAATTTCAAGGTCAGAGGTCAAACTTACACAATCACGTAATATCAACTACATGTAAATATTCAATATTACTGTGCCAGGGGTCCACAGTACAACTGTACATGCACATTATGTAACTCATTAAACTGATATATAGCACCACAGTTTTCAGCAGAAAGACAATGGGCAAGCCTCGAGAAGAAAATAGACCAATTAAGCCCTAGCAGTCCTTTTTTGTCCTGAATTTCTGTTTATGCCACATACTAATAAGAAAGTTATTTAATCAGTAAACCAGTCCTTTCAGGGTCAAGTTTAGTAACATTGTAATTTTTAGCAAATGAGTGAAAATCATACACCACTGTTGCCTGGAAATTAAACATGGTGGCCTCTTCAAGTGAAATAACTGTTGTGACATGCTTTCGTAGCTAAACTGGGAGAGGACTAACATATAAATGTCAAACACCTAACCTGAAACTGCTGTTCGCCATTTGTCATTAACGTGAAAACTCTGGTGTTAAATGCCTCTATTCACAACAGAATTAAATGTCGACTCTGATATATAAACTGTAGGACACACTTTGAAACTACCAACTACACTGAATGTAAAAATATGTAATGATTACATTATGAGTATAATAATAGAAATTACCTTGCTTGCATTCCTTTCAATTGTTCATTTCTACTTTTAAGTTCACCTGTTGTAAAAAAGTATATCATGAATCAAATTTTGCTCTTGAAATAAGTACTGTAAAAAAACCTTCACAAAAAAGCCACATGTTGGACTGCTCTAACAAGTGTTAATGTGCTTATCAGGGCTGTCATTAAGGGCCGTAACCCTTAACACCTGTTAAGGCTGAGTATGCTGGAATTTCCCTTCATGGTATGGGTGAAATTGCCTGTTGTTGATAGAATTCACCCACAAAGTAACAAGTTTGCTACAGGTGTGCAGAACAGGGTATAGGTGACTCAAAAGTTAATAATAGCCCTGCTTATTAAACCAGGCAATTTTAGGCCACCAGCTCTGGAACAAAAAGGCCACACAGCATTTTTGCAAGTTTCCTGTTGCAGGACAGTTCATTTGTCAACTTGTTGTCACTCCTGGTGAGAGAGAGGTGCTGTCTTCAAAATGTCTCACTCCCTCAACTTCCTAACATAGATTACGACATATAATAGCATCTTCCACATACAGTACATGTATTTAGGTATATACTAGCCGTAAAAATAAGTCTCACTTACTTTCAAGCCTAGAGGATCTTTTCTCAAGAGCAAACACCTACACCAAAAGGAAATTTTAAAAGTCAGCCCAAATGTATATCAACAATTTATAGTCTGAGCACACAAACTGAATTAGAGGAGCTTAATTGATGTCTCATCTGTACTGGAAGTTAAATAGTAACTGATCTGCCTCTATTAGTATTAATTTTCTCAACTTCAATTAAAACAAACTTTCAATTGAAGTTGAGAAAATTAATACTAATAGAGGCAGATCAGTTATTATTTAACTTCCAGTACAGATGAGACATCAAGCTCCCCTAATTCAGAAAAAGCTTTTAAAAGTGCATACTTACAACATGAAGTACTAACCAGCGATAAAACTGTAACTTACAGTGTATGTAATATGTTTAATGCTACTCACCCTCTGCCTGTCCTCTTCCCATGCTACAATCTGTTTTTGATGGGCTTGTACCATATCATTTAATTCTCTATTTGAAATAGACAAATAGAGATTATTAACACATCATGCATAATTTATTTCACAAGGGGCTCAAAAAAAAACTTGGCATGAATTTCAGCTTGCCCTTGGGACAAACTGCTCTCAAATTTTGCTTGCCCTGGTTAAGTCTTGTTCAATGTAATGTAATATTAAAATTAAAGTTAAAGTTATTAAAAGTCTTAGTTTGCTCTTTTAATGATTTAGTTGACAGACATCTTGCCTGATCCTTTGCCCATTGTGCAAGTGAGAATGAAAGGCTTCTTGCCCAGAGGGAAAATTTACTTGTCCTGGACAACTGGATGGCACTATGTTCAGGCACTGTTCACATCATTATTTTATTCTTAATCTGTGATGGTTATTGTATGCTTATGAAAAAAGAGCAAGTCAGAATGGATAATAAACCAGTTCAAAGTATAATTACCTGTCTCTATCTTTGAGTTCTCCTATAAGTAACTGAAGTTCACGCCTTTGTCTTTGGATTGTATCACTGTCAACGTCAGAGAGCTGAAAACATATTACAAAATTAAATATGACTAAGCTCCAATTTCTGTTGTGACTACCTTGCACGAGATTATTCAGTCACATTTGTTGCTCTTCCTAGATGGGCCCTGTGAGTCTCGCACCTCTGTGGGTCAACTTAAACTCCGATCTTATGCTAGCCAGGGCTGTCAATAAGGACCGTAACCCACAATACCTGCTACAGCTGAGAATGCTTGATGGGCCCTTGATGTTACGGGTGAACTTGCCTGTTTAGTGATATAAATATCAATAAAATAACAAGTTTGTCACCAGTGTGGAGATCAAGACTACAGGTGACTCAGGACTTGATGACAGCCCTGCCAGCTCACATCTACATGTACATGTATGCATCAAATTGCTCAGGCCTACATTTGAGCTATTTTAGCCTTAAATAATAGCCACCTTCAATAATATGTGAACTCAGAAGTTAAAAATGTACATATTAGTAATGCTTGCATTTTTCACTTCCATCAATTATCAATTTGAAAACATTCAACGACCCTTGAAAAAGAAACAAACGAAATGGATTGAAATGAACCCATTGCAAGCCAAAAAAATGGCCTTTTGAACCCACTAAGTGAACATTTTGTTTCCTGGGAAAGCTGCTGGGATAATTGACAACAGCAAAAAATATTCCCCTATGAACATGCAGAGTTTGCACAGTATTGAAAGATGCAGCACCCTCCACAAATATTAATAAACCATTGACTTGCTCTGGGAAAATGTAAATCCATAAACCAACCTGTTTACTGGTAGGAGAGAGGGAGCTGTTGTGTAGTCTTGGACTTGTTGCTCTGTGTATACTAGGACTTACTGGTCGACGGACAGGACTTGTGCTACGCAATGGAGATTTACTCCGCTGGACACGGGATGGACTAACACCTGTCTGGTAGCTTGTGTTGCTTGTTCTGGGTTTGTAAATACTTGGTGATGTTGAAGAGAAAGATGAAGATATGGGCTGAAATTGCAAAAAGATAAAATTAATTGCATCTGTTCAGCAAAACGTGAATCAAAGCAGTTAGAGAGGTCTACTACATGTACGCCATGTCTTTGCCACACTGCAGGGAGCTGAAATATTTATCATGCTACCTGTGTTTAAAATAAATGTAAAGTTTGCTGTTGGTAACAAATCCTCTAAAATTACTCTATAAAAAGAAATAATTTCTCACCTTTGTTTTGGGCGTGCTGTGGAATAAATTACTTGAATCATATGAACTATGACCTATAATGTAGATGTGAAGGAAAACAAACATGTGTCAAAATTGCATGTACATGTAGCCCCTCTTAACAAACACAACACATACTCTACGAGACCAAATTAACTGACGTTGGGGCCAAAAAATTCCAGCTGCTCTTGAGATCTACAGAGATCCATTATCGATCATGTCTCAGATTGATAATGCAGCTGTGGCTATGCA